GTATCCGGAGTGGACTTCCCCAGGGGTTTTTGGTGGAGGCCAATTAAAGCGAAGGCCGACCCCTCCGCAGGGGATGCCGAGGAGGAGGCCTTCCAGAAGCTAATGGGGTCAGGACTTCGGATATACAGTCTGGACTACCCCGAAGCCGTGCTGGTTGACGGGGGAATCAGCCGAGCCTTGCTCAGTCCTGACAAAACTCCCTTCACTTCCACCAAACTTAAGATTCCTTGTAATTTTCTTTCATAGCTTTGCTTTCACTTCGGCTAAGGCATATGATAATATTTGTTTCTTGTGCAGTGACTAAACTGTCCGACATCGTCGTATCGGGCTCGTCCGAAGTGGCCAAGAGACAGAAGAGGAAGAGCTCTGGCGAGACATCGGCACCTCCGCCGAAGAAGAAGTCACAAGGACAGGCTGCCAAGACTTCGGCGGCCAAAAGCACCCCCACTCCGGGAGGCCAAAGCAGCTCGGCCGCGCGGCTACTGGATCCACCTCGTCTGTGCCAGAGGGAGTGCCCCTTGGCCGAGGCAAGCAGTTGAAGCCGAGGCACTCCCGCCTCCTCGTGGCCGAGGCACTCCCTCCTCCTCGTGGCCGAGGCAAGCAGTTGAAGCCTCCGGTAAATGCAGTCTCGGGGACCTCGCTATGGAATCGTTTCCATAGCCCCCCAGTATTTCCCGGGGAGAAGAAGACACACCCCGGCGAGCACTGGTGTCCGAACTGGAAGGTTACGGTCAACGACAGGTGCAGCCAGCCTCGGGTTGCCCAAGAGCTAATGATGCACTCCACCTTGCCAAGGGACTTGGAGTTCATGAGGAAGCTGAGCCCGGCTGAGATGGTTCAAAGCCTCATGGTGACCACAGCTTCCAACTCAGCTTTTGTGGCCGAGATGGCACACCGATACTGTGCTCTGGTGGAGGAGCAGGATGCCGGAAAGCTGCAGAATCAGATCTCCAAGTTGGAGAAAAAACTGGCGGTGTCCGAATCCGAGAAATCGGAGCTTCAGATGCGACTTCAGGAAGCCGAAGCTAAGGGCGAGGAGGCCGAGGTCACAATGAATAGTCTCAGATCAGCCCTCGAAGAAGAGCAGAAGAGGAGGGACGAGGTGAAGAAACCCCATGAGCAAGCTCTCGAGGGTGTTGGAGCCTCGGCCGTGGACGCTTTTCGGAAGTCTGAGGCTTTCACCAGGGATCTCGGCCAACTACTCACGCCGAGCTTCATGTTTGGCTTCACGTCAGCCATAGACGAGGCTGCAGCTCACCTCTCCTCCGAAGCCTTGGAGTCTTTGAAAAACCATGCCAACTACAATGAGGACTCCAAGGAGCTATGCGAGCGGATGGCCAAAGGCATTCAGGCAGGAAGGAACTTGGTCGAAGTCCAGAGCGAGTTCAACAAGTGGCTGTCCGAACTCGACGAAGTGTTCGAGGAGGGTGAAGAAGAAGAAGCTATGGGAGGAGAAGACGCTGGGGGAGACGAGGCCGGAGGGTACATCGGCGAAGAGCATGGAGGAGAACTTCACCCCGGCGGAGAAGAGGCCGGAGAGAAGGCTGCCCAGGAGGGAGTCGAGAAAGGGGGTCTAGGCTCGTAGGCCTTAAAGGGGTGGCCGAGGTGGAGAGTGCTTAGTAGCATTCCGACCTTGGCCTTGTATTTTTTGTAACGCTCTTTTCTGTTGAATGAAAGTCTATTTCTTCTCATCTCAGCACTTTACTTTCTTGCTTTGACTTCGTCCCTTGCTTGTCCCCCTTATTTTTTAATAGCGTAATACCGATGTTGAAAAATAACATAATATCCGAAGTCATGACTTGATTAAAAATTCAAGCATAATACAATTTGAGGTTCTCGGCGTGCCAAGACCTCGGCACTAATGAGCCATCTCGGTAACTCAGTTTACAATATCCCTTAAGGTCAGACTCCACAACTCGGTAAGGGCCTTCCCATTTCGGGCATAATTTCCCTCGTGGTTCAGTTCGGCTGACTGAGTTTTTTCTAAGAACCAAGTCTCCAGGCTGGAATCTACGGTGTCTGATGCGGGCATTGTAATAGTGTGCCAGTGTGTTCTTGTAGGAAGCTATCCGGGCTGAGGCGAGGTCCCTTCGTTCATCGACGAGGTCGAGATCCAGCTGTCTCTCTTCGTTGTTCACCTCGGCGGCATAGGCTGCCAGCCGAGGACTGGGGGTAAGGATCTCGGCAGGGATGACAGCCTCGGCTCCGTAGGTCAAAGAGAAGGGGGTCTCTTGCGTGGCTGACCTCGGCGTGGTCCGATAAGACCACAGGACACTGGGAAGTTCTTCGACCCAAGATGTTCCAGCTCGGTGTAGTCGGGTCTTGAGGCCATGCAAGAGAGTTCGGTTGAAGTTTTCTGCTTGACCGTTGGCCTGGGGGTGGCCTACCGAAGTGAAATGTTGTTTGATGCCAAGGTTTGTGCACCAAGTTTTAAAGGGGTTCTCGGCAAATTGCCTTCCATTATTCCAGATGATGACCTGAGGTATGCCGAAGCGGCAGACGATGCATTTCCAAAAGAACTTTTGAATTGCCAGCCTGGTGATGGTCCTCAGAGGCTCAGCCTCAACCCACTTGGTGAAGTAATCCACAGCGGTTACCAGGAAGGTATCACCCCCGATGGATCTGGGGAAAGGACCTATGATGTCCGTCCCCCATTGCTCAAACGGCCAAGGTGAAGTGATGGGAACCATGAAGTTTGCGGGCTGGTGATGCTCGGGTGCGTGGACTTGGCAGGAAGGGCAACCGAGAACAAGGTCCTGGGCGTCTTGCCGAACTGAGGGCCAGAAATATCCAAGAAGCAAAGCCTTCTTGGCTAGCATTCTGTGGCCGACGTGAGCCCCACACAGGCATTCGTGGATCTCGTGGAGGACGTCGCGTCCTGTCTCGGGAGTGACACACCTCAGCCATGGGCCGAGGTAGGAGCGTTTGTACAGCTCTCCATCGCGGAGAGCGTACCGAGCTGCCTTGCGCTGTATTTTTCTCGCCTCGGCTCGGTCTTCGGGAGGGCTCCCTGACCCAAGAAAAGGATGAACGGTGTCATCCAGGTTTCTTCAGAGTGCACGGGGCAGGCCACCTCTTCCACGTATCCTGGTTCACTCAGGACTTCCACCAAGACTGTTTTGTTGAGGTCAGAGAATGATGTGGAAGCCAGCCGGGATAAGGCGTCGGCTCGCTTATTCTGGGACCGGGGTATTCTTTGGATTTCGAAAGACTCGAAGTACGCGGTGAGTTGATGAACTTTGGAGAGGTACCGTTGCATGGTCTCATCCCTGGCCTCGTATTCATCAAGAATTTGGCGTACAACGAGTTGGGAGTCACTGCGGACGTGGATATGCTGGGCGCCGAGCCTACGGGCCAGCTGGAGTCCAGCAATTAAGGCCTCGTACTCGGCTTCATTATTGGTGGCTGGGAAGCCAAAGCGGAGGGCGTAAGAGCACACTTCCTCCTGAGGTCCTTCCAGGAGCAGTCCAGCCCCGCTGCCATCCCCATTAGAGGATCCGTCTACATACAGTGTCCACGGGGAAGGGGTGGACACCTCGGCACTGGCGGAGGTGGACTCTGGACCTTCCGTGAAGGTCAGCTCGGCCAGGAAATCAGCTAGAACCTGAGCTTTTATGGCGGTACGGGGCTCATATGACAGGTCATATTCTCCCAACTCGACAGCCCACTTGGTGAGGCGACCGGAAGCCTCGGGTCGCACCAATATTTGCCGAATGGGCTGGTCGGTCCTGACGGAGATAGGATGAGCAAGGAAGTAGGGCTTCAATCGCCGAGCTGCGTGGACTAGCCCCAACACCAGTTTTTCCACCTGAGTGTATCGAGTCTCCGGCCCGCGGAGAGCTCGGCTGACGTAGTAGACTGGCACTTGGGTGCCCTCATCCCGGATAAGAACAGCGCTGACAGCCTCGTCGGCTGCGGAGAGGTAAAGGTAGAGCTTCTTCTCGGGCCGAGGTGAAGCGAGAGTGGGTAGGTGATGGAGGTATTGCTTCAGCTTGTCGAAAGCAGCCTGGCACTCTTCCGTCCAGGCAAACTGATCAGCCTTCTTGAGCACCTTAAAGAAGGGCAGAGCTTTCTCAGCTGATTGGGACAAGAAGCGATTCAGCACGGCCAGGCGTCCATTCAGCCGTTGGATTTCTCGGATGTTCCGAGGTGGGGACATGTCCTGAATGGCCTTAACCTTGTCGGGGTTGGCCTCGATTCCCCGGTGGGAAACCAGATACCCCAAGAATTTCCCCGAGGTGACGCCGAAGACGCACTTCTTGGGATTCAGCTTCATCCTCGAGTCTCGCAGGACACCAAAGACTTCCCTCACGTCTGACAGAAAGGACGAAGTGGCGAGACTTTTGACAAGGATGTCATCCACATAGGCCTCCACATTGCGGCCGATTTGATTCTTGAAGAGTCGGTTGATCAGCCTTTGGTAGGTCGCCCCGGCGTTCTTTAGCCCGAAGGGCATGGTAGTGTAACAATAAGTACCTCGGTCGGTGTAGAACGCCGTTTGCTCTTGGTCCTCCTCACTCATTCCTATTTGATGATACCCTTTAAAGGCATCTAGGAAGCAGAGGACTACATACCCCATCACCGAGTCGACGAGGGCGTCTATCCTAGGCAGAGGATAGCAATCTTTGGGGCAGGCCTTGTTGAAGTCGGTGAAGTCTACACAAATTCTCCATCCACCGGTGTCCTTTTTGACCATGACTGGGTTGGACAGCCAGGTGGGATATTGGACCTCGTGGATCATCTTGGCCGGCAAGAGCTTGTCGACCTCATCCGATATGGCCTTGCTACGTTCGGGGCCGAAGTGCCTTCGTTTCTGCCGCACAGGTCGGGCCTGTGGGTTAACGTTGAGTTGGTGAGTCATGGGCTCGGGTGGCACTCCGACCACTTCATCTGCGGACCACGCGAAGACGTCTCGGTGGTCCTTGATCAGGGAGATCATTTCTTCTTTCAGGGGTGAGGGGAGTCCGGCCCTTACTTGGACCACTTGGTCAGGTTTCGCTTCATCCAAGACCACTAGGGTCGATGCAGTCTATGGAGAGGACCGCTGGCCTCTTTTCTTCTGACCTCGGTGAGGGCCGGGGTGTGACTGCTGCTTGAATGGTGGCGAGGTAGCATTCCCGGGCGGTGCCCATGTCGCTGCTCACCTCAGCCACCCCCGCAGGTGTTGGGAATTTCAAGCTCAGGTGGTAGGTGGAGTATACGGCTCTCAAGGCGTTGAGCGTGGGTCGGCCTATCAGCATGTTGTAGGGGGAGTCTGCTTTGACCACCGTAAAACTGACAGGCACAGTTCGGCAGCGTGGATGTCGCCCGATAGTTACCATCAGGGTCACCATGCCATCCGGGTGGACGACGTGTCCCCCGAAACCGACAAGGGGAGTTCTGACCGGAGTGAGTTGCTCCCGGGTCAGCTTCAAACTCTCGAAAGTTTGGTAGTACAAGACGTCTACCGAGCTTCCGGGGTCGACATAGACCTTTCTGACTATGTAATTATTGGTAAGGACTTCAATCACGAGCGCCTCGTGATTGCTGGAGGCGGCAGGGACAGGGTCATGGGGACCATAGGTAATCACCTCGGATAACCTGGAACTTGATTCGGCCACCTCCATATCGGCTTGGCGGTAAGTCCTTTTTCGGGAGTTCTGACTGTCTCCTCCAGTGGGGCCACCCGAGATGGTGTTGATCACCCCGGCAATGTTTGGGCCATAGCCCGGCGATCCGTCGCGTGGAGGCCTTTGATCCCCATTTCGGTCCTCAGGACCTCGGCACTGAAGCTTAGTGTCCCGCCTGTCTTCTCGGCGAGGACCTCGGCTCTCCCGGTGGGAGGCGCTTCGGTTGAAGGTTCCATCCTTGCGGACAAACTGCTTCAAGTATCCCTGGCGGATCAGGTTTTCTATTTCTAGCTTCAAGTCGTTGCAGTCTTCGGTCTCGTGCCCCACATCTCGGTGGTAGGCACAGTAGAGGTTGGAATTCCTCTTATCCCTTCTTCCTGGGATCTCAGGGGGAGTTCGGCCGAGGTGATTCTGCCTCATCACAGCCAAAACATGGGATCGGTTGGAATTGAGGGGTGTCAGCTCGGCGTCCGAGGTGGACGATCTGCCTTTTACGATCCGGTCGAAGACACTCCGGCTGTCTCGGAGTTGGTTTGAAGTGCCACTTGGGCCTGGTTCACCTCGGCCGGTGTCTTTCCTCCTCCGGGGATCTTGCCCCGTACGAGATGCTTGGGCTTCTCGCTTCATGCGATTTACATCTTTATTTCGGATTCCCTGGTCCACTCTTTCCCAGAGCTCCCGAAGTGTATGGGGGTACTACCGATGGATTTCGGTGTTGAAGATCCCTGCCACTAACCCGTTGGTGAAGGCAGCGATAGTTACCTGCTCATTCTGATCAGGTATCTGCACATTCTACTCGTTGAACCTTTGAGCATACGAGCCAAGTGACTCGCCCTGACCCTGTTGCAGGTTCAAGAGGTAAGCAGAAGTCTTTGTGATTGGTCGAGACGACACAAAGCGGTGGATGAACCGGTCTATTAGCTCATCCAAGGAGGAAATGCTCCTTGGTTCCAAACTCCAGAACCACTTCCGGGCAGTCCCGTGTAGGAAGATGGGGAAAGCCCGACAGATCACGGCGTCGGGGACGCAGTAGAGTCGGAATGCGGAGGCGCGGAGGTGATCCTCGGGGTCACCTCGGCCGTCATAGGTGTGCAAGTTTGGAAGCTTAAAATTTGGGGGCACCATCTCCCCGTTGATGTCATCTGTGAAGGGCGGGGCCCGCATGTAGTCAGAAGCTAGGCCTCCGGGGCGCCGAGGCGGGTCCTCGGCTTTTTTCCCTAGCAGTCCCCGGGAAAACGCCCTGGAGATGGAGGCAATTTTAGAGGTCGCCTTGGAGGAGGCGCGCCTAGAGGTACTCCGAGAGAGACGCCCCTCATCGGAGTCCTCGCCTGAGGGCACTTCAGGAGACTTCGTCGGTCTCCTCTTGGAAGATTCGGCCTTTTCTTTCCCCTGTCTTTTGAGGTATCTTCCTAGCTCCTCAAAAATGTTGGGGTTGTCTGATACGAACTCGGCCATCTTGGCGATGGCGTCTTCGTTGTGGGGCTGGGTCCTTGGGGACCCTTGTTCTTCAGAAATACGATCTTGCTGGGCTCCGGACGTCTGCCCAGCCCCGGTCGAGGGGACTCTTCCGCTTCTAGAGCGCGTGGATCTCATTTTAGTAATAGTAGTCTCGTTCCCACAGACGGCGCCAATTGAAGAGGTAATTTTTGGTGGGTAGTTGAACCGACCAGAATCAGGCTCCTCTGAGATGAAGTGAGGTGTATCCTCGTGTCCGAAGTGAATGGCGGGGCTTCTCCCCTGGGATCACTCCGACGATTAAGTTAGTATGAGAACGAGAGAAAAGCAATAGTATTGTCAAATGAATAGTATGCTTACTTGTTGGTAGTATGTGTGAGGTATTTATAGAAGGAGAGTAGAGGACAGGGCGGAAGGCCCATACTAGTGGGACCCACTCTCTGGCATTACGGCTCTGTCCCTTGTCAGGAAACCTGACCCTGACACTGTAGCCTTCTGGGCATGATGACGGAGAGTATTGTGCAGGTGCCATTAAGTGCCTCCAGTGCTTTTCAGATAAAGCACTGGTCCTGGGTGATGTCAGGCGGCTTGACATCATCAGCGTGCAGCTGAGGTGGAGGTGCCGAGGTCACCTACACGGTAGACTAGTGATCCGGCTGAGTTCAGGGGTTATGCCAAAGACACGGATGAGCTCTGATGAGGGACGAGGTGGGTTCACCTCGGACATGCGGGTGGCCGAGGTGAGCATCCTCAATGTGAAAAGAGGGAATTAGGCGAGGGTGTACTTTATCACACTCGACCTAAACCCTAGTTTGTACCTATGTTTCCCCATGAGATGTGTATATATGAATTATTTTGGTGCTGAACCCCTTGAGCTTGGAGCTCGGGGTGACTTTCGTGAATTCGTGAAATATGTTGAAGTTGGGGGCCCGATCTCAAGACTTGGATGGACTATTCGAGCAAGCCGGGGCTTGGTCGGAGCCAGTCCAACCTAGTCTGAGGTCACCAAGTTCGTAGGTTCCAGTGGTGAACCAAGTTTGTGACCCGAGCTTGTGACTCAAGCTCAAGTTTGTGATTTCGTTCGCTCGGGCAAGTTTGTGAGGTGACTGGCCAGTGAGGGTGATAAGGTGTTCGGTGGGTGTACAAGTGGAGTTCTACGGACCTTATTTATGGTCGACGGAGTGTCGACAGGAGATCACGCATGGCAAATGACTTGGCTTTGGAGCCAACCTGTATCCTTCCTTTGTATTGTTACTTTTGTGCTTGACTTGACATTTTGTGGAATAGCTGTATCTTTAAATGTGAAATTTTACGCTTTTACCCCTGTTTACTTACTAAGCTTCTAGCTTACCCCGTTTCCTTTGTTTTCCTTAGCAGGGGACGACGCGGGGAACTTCTTGGCACCTTCACTAGTATAGTTAGGTTTGATTGTAATAGTCGGACAGTTAGGATGTTTGTTTTTGTTTTGGTGGTTTGTATAAGGACCCTCTTTAGGGTCTACCTTCTGCTGGTTGTTATTATAATGTATTAGAGTGGTTTGACTCGATACTTTTGAAGATGTAAATAGAACTCTTTTGGCGTTAGATATATTATGAATAGTACGTTTGTGGGTTTATCTAGTTTTATTGTTTTGAAATTTTGAGTCCTGGCGCGAGCTAGGCAGGCGTCCCGCCGATACCCTAGGGTTCGCCCTTGGGAGAAGCAGGGCGTCACACTCAACCCCATTGGTAGTCGATTGGATCGAGCCGGCGAAGGCTTGGTCGTGAAACTTGACGAGCTATGGGGACTGTTATATGGAATCTTGTAGTAGTGAGACTCTTGATTCCGGTATACTCGAGTATTACCAAATTGCTACTGTTTGGAGTTCGGGCCCGGTAGGGGTATGTTGGGTGAAAGGAATGGAAGTAAAGTGGAGCCTACGGTTGGTTACTCTTAAACATTGACGGAGGGTCAATGAGATTCGATCAAGAATGCAAACGAGGAAAAGAGCTCTTGAGAGCCGCCTGTATCCTTTTATCACCACTATTGATGTATGCATTTACTTACTTTTGATGTATTGGAATGAAAAGCTTGATGCTTATATGAACTTGGTTGCTTGAGTGGTATTATCTCACTGGGCGTAAGCTCACTCTATTCCCTTTTGTTTTCCTTACAGGAAAATAAATACTTTTGGACTGGATTTGATTGTTGGTTGTCGAATTGAGCTAGATGGACATATCTTTTGTATTGCTCCTTGATTGAAACTCTAAGTGTACTTTTGGGTCCGTTTCTCTTTTGATTTGGCAAACCGTACACGTATCCACTTTTGAATAACTTTTGTATGCCACTTTGGATTGTATATGCTTAAGTTCAACATGTAAATATTTGCTTGACGTTTGGTTGGGTTTTGACGTGTCGGTTACTATTCATAGCCGACTCCGGTTTCATTTTTTTTTTTTTTTTATTTTGACTTGTTTACGCGCGTTTGTATGTTCCGGAACGTATTAGATCACTCTAAACTGAACCGTTAGTCCTGGCGAGAGCTGGGCAGGCAGTCCGCTAACCCCTTTGGTTCGCCTTAGGGGAAGGTAGGGCTGTCATAGATTATCATCTTGGAGTGGAGAGTTTTGGTGGTTCAAGCTTCCTAGGGGCTGTTGTGCTTCTCCAATTCTAGGTAAGGATGGTATTATTTCATGGTTGTGCTACTTATTGGTTTACAAGTGAAAGTTATGGCTTGTTAGGTAACTTTCATGGTTTTAGTATTAGTTTTGGTAAATTCCAGCTCTATAGTGTAAAAAAATTCAGCTTTGGTTGTTGGAATGATGGTTGTTTGGATGGTATATGGTGTATGTAGGCTTGTATAGGAGGTAGTAGTAGTGGTTTTAAGCTAGAAATGTGAAGTTGCACATTAAATTCTTGAAATTCCATAGTTGAGATTTCTTATGGTTCAGTTCTGCCCGTTTCTGTTTGAGTATGTTAGAGACCGAATCAGCCTTAGCACAAAATAAGAAAGTTGTAGGTAATGATGTTTTATAGTTTCCTACAAAATTTCAACTCAATTGGAGTACTGTATCCCATGAAAAGACAAAATTACCCCTGAGACTGCCCAAGGTAGAGTCCAACAGACAGTTTTGACATTTGCTCATGTTGGCTGCGTTTTTCACCTTGATCTGTACCAAACCAGTCTTTGGCCAAAACATAAAAATTTTATCCCTATGTTTTAGCTTTCCAACGCCACTGAGAACACCTCAATCGGACTTCGGTAGCCTGAATTATGGCCATTGAAACATAGTACAGTTAACTAGCCTGTCGGTAGGAATCTGGTACTGTAATTTATGAATTTGACTTGGATACATTGCAAACTGGACTAAGTGGACTTCATCAAAGTTGTATCTCTCTGCCTTAGCTTCGAAACGGTATAAATTGAACCCCAATCCGATAAGCGTAGCTTTGGTTGTGTCCGTTACTCAAAATAACGTCAAATCTGTCTTTTGTTTCTTGACTCAACCTTCATTTCCGCATATGCTCCTAGCTTGATTTTGTACTTGTATGACTTGGAGTCTATGGAATGGCTATTGAAATGAGATGATTTTGTGTATGACTTTGGAATTGATTGAGGAAAAGAATGAAGCCATAAATGGTTGGAAAATAGGTAAATACAAAGGGCGTGCTGCCCAAATTTACGCTCGAGAACTAGGTCGATATACTTGCGACTTGAGTAAGGCTTGAGAGCGAATACCACGTGAACCATCTAAGGTATTTACGTCTTCTTTTATCGAGGTATATAAATTAGAATTCGGCCGAAACTTGTACCCTTGGAAAAATGAAATTTACGACTAATAGAAATACGTTTTCTTTGCCACTTCGACTCAAATAGCGATTTTAAAGTTTTACAAATGAGCATAAGTTTTACAAATATTTTACTTATGTCCTTTGGTTTAAATGTACTCTTTTCACTACCAAAATCATATTTATACTTTGTACTAGTATGTATTCGAATTTTCTTTGAATCACTTACATCTTTGATGGTTGAAGCATAATGTGTTCTTTTGATTATGTTAAGATTCATTGGTGATTAAGGGTAATAACCGGAAGAACACTTTGGACGTTATTTTGCGTAAATAGGTGAGTGTTTCTTGTTGTTATGTTACTCTTGATTTAAATGCCTTGTTCCATGTTATGGATATTTGATT